CTTCTTTATTTTATAATTGAAAGTTTGTCTCTCTATCCCCTTCATCTATTTTGTCAATCCTCCAACTCTCCTATGGCAACCACAAGTCAATTCCGTGTATTTCTGAGTCCATTTCTGTTGTGTTTTTTTTGCTCATTTATGTGTCTTTTTAAATCTACATATAAGTAGAATCATATGGTGGTCGTCTTTCTCCGTCTGACTTTTTCACTTAGCATAATGTCATCTATGTCCATACACATTGTTGCAAATGGCAAGATTTCATTCTTTTTTGTGACTGAGTATATTCCATTTGTGTATATATATATATATTACGATATCTTATTGATCCATTCATCTATTGATAGACTGGTATCTTGGCTATTATAAATAATGCTGCAATAAACAAAGGAGAGTGTATATCCTTTTGCATTAGTGATTTTGTTTCCTTTGGATAAATACCCAAAAGTGGAATTACTGGGTCATATGACATTCCTATTTTTAATTTTTGAGGAACCTCCCTATTGCTTTTCATAGTGACTGCACAATTCATTCCCCTTACAGTGCATCCTCACCAACACTTGCTATTTCTTGTCTTTTTGATACTAGCCATATTAGTAGGTGTGAGGTGATCTCATTGTGGATTTGATGTGCATTTCCCTGATGTTAGTGATGTTCAGCATCTTTTCATGTGTCTGTTCACTATCTGTATGTCTTATTTGGAAAAATGTCTATTCATGTCCTCTGCCTATTTTTCAATCAGATTATTTGTTTTGTTGGTGTTGAGCTGCATGAGTTTTTTTTTTATATGCTTTGGATATTAACCTTTTACTGAATATATCATTTGCAAAAATATTCTCCCATTCATTAGGTTGCCTTTTTGTTTTGTTGTTGGTTTCCTTTGCTGTGCAGAAGCTTTTTAGTTTGTTTATTTTTGCTTTTGTTTCCTTCACCTGGGGAGACATATCAAGACAAAAATTGCTAATGCCAGTCTAAGAATTTACTGTCTATGTTTTCTTTTAGGAGTTTTATGGTTTCAGGTCTTACATGTAGGTCTTCAATCCATTTTGAGTTTATTTTTGTGTATGAGGTAAAAGAGTGGTCCAATTTCCTCCTTTTACATGTAGCTATTCAGTTTTCCCAATCTTATTTGTTGAAAAGACTGTCTTTTCTCCATTGTGTATTCTTGCCTCCTTGGTTGTATATTAACTGACCATATAAGCATGGGTTTATTTCTGCTCTGTATATTCTGTTCTGTTGGTCTCTGTGTCTATTTTTGTGCCAGTAACATACTGTTTTAATTACTGTAGCTTTGTAGTATAGTTTGATTGCTTTGGCTTTTCAGGGTGTTTTGTGGTTCCATACAAATTTTAGGATTATTTGTTCTAGTTCTATGAAAAATGTCATTGGTATTTACATAGGGATTGCATTGAATCTATATATTGCTTTAGGTAGTATGACTGTTTAAAAAATGTTAAGTCTTCCAATACCTGAGCATATAATATTTTCCCATTTTTTTGTGTCATCTTCCATTTCTTTCATCAGTGTCTTAGAGTTCTCAGAGTAGAGATCTTTTACCTCCTTGGTTAAATTTATTCCTAGGAGGACTCTCTTGTCCCCTCCTGGCTTGAGCCAGGAGCTCTGTATTTTCGCTTTCTCTCTAAATAAAAGCCTCTGCCTTGCTCTCCTAAAAAAAAAATTTATTCCTAGGTATTTTATTCTTTTTGATGCATTTGTAAATTGGATTGTTTTCTCAATTTCTCTTTTTGCTAGCTCATTATATAGAAACAACAGATATCCTGTGACTTGACTAAATTTATCATTAGTTCCAGTATTTGGTGGAGTCTTTAGGGTTTTCTATATATAGTATGTCATCTGCAAATAGTGACAATTTTACTTCTCCCTTACAAGTCTGGATGCCTTTTATTTCTTTTTCTTCTCTGATTGCTGTAGCTATGATTTCCAGTACTGTATTGAATAAAAGTGGTAAGAGTGGGCATCCTTGTCTTATTCCTGATCCTAGAGGAAAACCTTTCAGAATAGAGTATGATGTTATCTGTGGTTTTGTCATATGTGGCCTTTATTACATTGAGGTATAGTCCCTCTATACCCATTTTTTTGAGTTTTTATCATGAATGGATGTTGAATTTTGTCATAAGCTTTTTCAGCACCTATTGAGATGACTGTATGGTTTTTATCCTTCCTTTTGTTAATGTGGTATACCATATTAATTGATTTGTAGATAATTGAACCATCTTTGCATCCCTAGAATAAATCCTGGAAGAGGTGAATGATCCTTTTAATATACTTTTCAATTTGGTTTGATAATATTTTATGTGAACTTTCAAAGAATAAATGTATATAAATATGGTTAGTAGCTTTTGTTAGTTACCCACAATTTTCTTCTGAGAAGTCTAATACCCTGTATAGAAAATGCTATACTTCCTCTTTTTGTTGTTATCTTTTGACAAACTGTAGATTTAGAAATAGGCAAGGGGGCAGGTAAGAAGATGACTTTAAGGAGGATGGAAGAGAAGAAGACAATTGAAGATAGAAAATTATAGGGAAAGATGAGTTATGTTCTTGAGTATATAGGAACTATATTCTTGAATATATAATTCAATATAAATTTATTTACACTCTTTTGATCCTACAATGTAGAAAGTGATGAGCTGTACATACTGTAGGTAATAAGTAAAACAAGTCACATGGAATCAGGTGACTGGTTGTATCCTCTTTCTCTGTGTTCTTGTCATTCCTCTAAGAACTTCTAGGCTATATTCACAATTACATCACACTTTATAATTTGCAAAATACTTTTACCTGTATCAAATCAGGATGCCTTCAGCTATAAGTAACAATATCTAAAACAAGAAGGAAATGTTTTGACTCATATACTTGGAGTCCAGAATGATGCTGAGTTTTAGGGTTGCCTGAAACAAGTCACTTGGATGCTGTTTTCTTGCATTCTTCTGGCTCTGCCAACTTGCCATCTACCATGTGCTTACTTTATTCTTAACTTTATAGCAGTTTCTGTATCTCATCTTCACACAAAGGAACATTCAGAAGAAGAGAGCATCCCAGGAGACCTCAGCAAAGTATGTCCCCTTTCTCCCTGGACTGAATTAAGTAGCAAGCTAGCCTGCTTCTGAATTTCCCCTGGACTCAGCTTCCTCGAAGCACATGGGTGTATCAGAGGGGTGGATTCCAGAATCAATCCAGTTTCCTTCAGGATGGGAGGAGTGGAAAATCGATGTTGGAAAGGCAGCCAGTAATATCCATTACATATGGTATCCAAATTGCTCTTCAACAATCAGAGGGGGAGGTGGGGCAGGTTTCTCTATTTTACAGATGAGAACACAGGAGTCAGATGGTCCTAAACCATCTTAGCTCATATCTTCTTAGTGTTCCAGTAATTTATAATGATGCCAAAAGAGATACATAACCATTCCATTTATAAATAATTAGGCCCTACACTTAAATATTTATATCCAACAACTAGTTAACTGTTTGAAGAAAAGTAATACACATAAATTGTAAGAAAACATTTTTATTCTTATTCTTAATCATAATTACTTACAGGTCATATGCACCTATTGGACACTTCTCATGCCTTGGAATCAGATTGGACACGACTACACTCATTTTCTGTTCCACATTTGTTTTCATGCAATACTTGCTTATTATGACTGTGAAAAGCCTAGCCTCACACCAATATGAAATCATTGATAGGATTGTAGTGCAATCTTATGTCAAAGTGTGGACTACCTCACTGATGGCTCATGTGGTGTCTGACAAATGTTGAGTTTCACTCTATGTACTGTCTTCAAATTTTTAAATGTACTGAGACATCCCTTTGAGTTCACTGTGGTACCTTGGAGCATCTTGTCACACAATTTGGGAAATATCCGTTTAAGTGTTTTGTCCAGACAAATAACAGCTAGGAAGAGACAGAACCGGAATTTAAACTTCAATATTCTAACTCCAAATTTGCTCTTAAACTATTTTGGGGCCTTTCCTGTAAGATCATGTTCCTGTTCCCACTCAGACTTTTCATTTGAACTTAGGGTCCAGTGAGGACAATATGACCCACTTGAAGCCTTTACAACAAAGGAAATTTAATATGGAGAATTACACTAGTGATAAAAGAGCCAAGAAGCCCAGGGGACAGTGAGGCACCCAAATATGAACAACAGTGGGAAGCCAGCTGCACTCCTACGGCTGTGGGGATGATGAGAATGTCAGTAGTGTGGGACACTAAGGTTGCCTGGTGGAGACTTGTCCCATTATGGAGATGCAGCCACTGCCACAGATGCCCCAGAAAGGAGAAAGAGATGGAGGGGAATACCTTGGTTTCTTCCCTTCTCCTGTCCCCAGTCCTCCTACCAATGCCTCCTGTTGGCCAAATCTACCTGGAAACCAGAGAGCAATGGAGCCTGGGAAGTGTAGTCTCTGATACAGAGTATGGGGAAGGACTGGGAGTGGATTTAAGCAAACAGTCGACCAGCACTACAAAATACAGTGTACACATTTTATTCTTCCAATAATTCCTTTAACAAATATTTTTGAGAACTGCTAGGTGCCAGGTAATGTGCTAAATGGACCTAATCACTGCCCTTTAGGGTATTGAAGACAAACACAGGAGAAACAGAATAAACACAGAACTAGTTAATTAGGAAATGTGTAAAATGCAATGAAAGAAAATATCACAGTGCTATGAGATCACTAGTGATTTGGAGGAATAATGCAACCTTCCGCAGTTTTAAGTCTAGGTAATTGACTCTAAAGGTGTGTGTGTAGAAAGCTTGTGTTCAGGAAAGGACAGACTACATGTAGATAAAGTTAAGAGAAAGATTTCGACTCATTCATATTTTGGCTTAACACCTGCATATGGGGCTTTATTGTCTCAAAGCTGTGTGTGTGATTGCGTATGACAGAGTGTGTGTGTGTATGTGTGAGAGAGAGAGAGGAAGAGGGAGACAGGGAGGGAAAGAACACTACAAAGAAAGAGATCTTTAGAAAAACATTCTAAGGAGCCAGAGGGCTCACAGCAGCTAATCTCTGTCATGCTTTCCAGGCCCCACCCCCTTCCCTCTCATCATAACTTGTGATCTTAGAGGCATGAAAGAATTTAAGCCCCTCCCCAAGCCTGAACATCTCAGTTGGCGGCTCAGCCAGGCTTGGAGCACGGACCCGAGGCCATGCAGAGGTGAGGGGCTTGCAGGAGGTTTCTCACCCCGTGGCCATGGGTGGCAACAGTGAGCAGCCTTGCATTCACCCCTACAAGTCCCTAGCTGAGGATGGCCACTGTGGCTCTGTGGAGCCACCCAAAAGAGACACGAGCAGGCTCATCATGCACAGCTTGGCCATGCTCGGCCGGGAGTTCTGCTATGCAGTGGAGGCGGCCTACGTGACCCCAGTTCTGCTCAGCGTGGGCCTGCCCAGGAGTCTGTACAGCATGGTGTGGCTCCTCAGCCCCGTCCTGGGATTCCTGCTGCAACCTGTGGTGGGATCAGCCAGCGACCACTGCCAGGCCAGGTGGGGTCGACGGAGACCCTACATCCTCACCCTGAGCATCATGATGCTCCTGGGAATGGCTCTGTACCTCAACGGGGAAGCTGTTACATCAGGTCAGTGGACTGCGTAGGGGAAATTGTCCCTTTCTGCAACTCAATCGGAGAATTCAGATTTCCTTATATGACAGTCAGACCTTGGTTAGAGCTGATTATCCCTCCTAGGTTGCAATGAATTATACCTTGGAATGGCCTAAATTCTGTGGTTGGGGAGCCTTTACTTTTAGAAACATCAGGATACATTTTTTTCATTGTGAGGATGTAAAAATAGGATTAAACTTACCTATTCTATCAAATCAAATATTTTCACATACTTACCAATTGCAGTGTTTTTTCAGCCCATTATGCCTTATCTAGTACTTTGACAAATTGAACATCTGCCAAATAATCCCAATAATATTTACAGTAAATTACCTGTTTGCCTGAATAATAGTTAATACTACTCATAACTTTATGTAAAGTCTTTTAGTGGGTGCAGGGAATTGGCTTGCCTGCTCAGCGGGACATTTTTGCACTGTAAATTCTGAACAGAACAAACCTGATGATTAACACTTTCTCTAGCCATTAATCAGCCACCAGTGAATCAGTATTTGGTGGTTACACATAAAAATGTGCATGGAAGAAAAGAATAGTTAAACTTAAAAATTGCATATATTTTTAGACCATTAACTCTCAGGCCAGCAGAATTAATGATAATGAAATAAGATAACCAGTTGTCATTTGTATGTATTTAAAAGAGGGCATATATATATAATCATAAAATATTTCTCAAAGAATTCACAAAAAAAACTGATAAGAATAGTTGCCTCTAGGAAGGGGTACTAAAGGACTTTGGAGGTGAAAGTGGAGGGTAGGCTTAATTTTCACTTATTTTTATACTGTAGCTTTTTTTAAAACATGTGCTTGTATTATACTTGGAGTGTAATATAATTCTAACATTATCCTTAAGTAAAACTGAAAGCAAGGGAAATTATGTTTTCAATATGAGATTGTGTGAATGAATTGTGTCATATCCATAGAATGAATATTATTCAGCTGTTAAAAATTGTGAAGTTGCTCTCCATTAATGGAAACACAAAGACATGAAGAAAGTTCATTTTAGATGAGTATGTCCACTGTAATTCCATTAGTCAGTGCCCCTCAAAGTGTGGTTCTCTCATCTGCAGCATCAGCATCATTGGGGGCTATTAGAGATGCAAATTCCCAGGCCCCACCTCATACCTACTGAGGAATCATGGGACAATCATGAAGAACCACAGAAGGTGAAGCCTAATAATCTGTTTTAACAATTTGTCCAGAGATGGTGAGGCATGCTAAAGTTTGAAGCACTGCATTAGGGCCTAGATGCACACCTGTATCTGCATGAGTGTAAGTGTATCAGGGACATTTGAAGGATTACCATCAATAGGGGGCTGGCGTTTGAAGCATTTCCCCCAGCTTTTCTGTGTTGCTGTAATGGTTACAATAAGCATGCATAATTTTTTAAATAGCTTACTTGAAGAAATTATTGACATACGATGAAAGTCACCATTTGAAAATGTACAACTCATTGCTTCATTGTATTTGCAAAGTTGTGCAACCATCACTACTTACTAATCCTACATTTATATCACCACCAAAAAGAAACCCAGCAACCACTAGCAGTTGCTCCCTATTCCCTTCTCCCGGCCAGTGTCACTGCTTAATCTATGTTCTGTCTCTATAGATCTGCCTTTTCTGGACATTCACTTGCATACTTTTTAAACCCTGAAAAAATAATGAAGTTATTTTTATCTGGAAAAGCAAAGCAAAATGAAAGCAAAGGCAGATAATTTAGTGACAGGAAATTTTGGTGGAATTAAAATGGAGGTCATTCTAAAGCAGAATTGAGGTGATGTATGTCTATTTCTCCTTTAGCTTTGATTGCTGACCCAAGGAAGAAGCTGGTGTGGACTATAGCCATAACCATGGCAGGTGTGGTTCTTTTTGATTTTGCAGCTGACTTCATTGATGGGCCCATCAAGGCCTATTTATTTGATGTCTGCTCCCATCTGGACAAGGAGAGAGGTCTCCGTTACCATGCCCTCTTCACAGGTAGGAAATATTCCAGAAAGTCTCTCTTTAAGCTCCCCAGACAGGGAGGTGCTTCTGTAAAGCCATCGGGAGTCTCTGAGTAAGTTTTTTGAATGAATTGCTCAGCTGATGTGTATCATGTGGTTCTGTCATCCAGTGCCTTTCTCTGAGCAAAGTCAGCTTGTGACCAGCTATGGAGTTTATGCAAAGGAAGTTTACTTCAGAACTGTCTGAGCAGCCGTTTGTGGAACTTTTACAACTGAAATAAAAAGAGGCCTTGTGTACTTTACTTTTTGTTTTTTTTAATTAGTGATCTAACATCAGCATTGCTTAGGAGCTTTTAAAAATGCAGCTTTCTGGGCCTGTCTTCCAGTTATCTTGGTTCAGTGGGTTTGGGAGGGGGCCCTGAAATTTGATTTTTAATGTATAAAGTACCCCAGATGATTCTGTGGCAAGTGTCCCAAAAACTATATTTAAAAACAAAAATAGAACCAAACCAAGTGAATAAAAAGACCCACATGTCTTAGAGATTTCTTAGTTATATAAAGATTTGGCATTTCCTCAATCTCCTGGTTTGGAAAAAGTCACGCCTGGAGGACAGTGGGGCGCTGTCTTCATTTGCTGGAGCTGTTGCCATCCCTTTTGGTTGCTGTTCGGTCATTCACTGAGAGCAATGCTAGTTATGCTCAGCAGGCATTTACTGAGCATCAGTTAGGGCTGTTCTACCACGGAGGGCTTATACATAGGACTACAACATGATCCCAGGTGTTTATATCTAGGTGGGGAGACTCTTATAAGTCTACCTGATTTGATTGTCCTCACAACCACCCAATGGATTTATTTTATGTTTTGATATATTGTGTCTCCTCCTGTGGCCAGGTAGATCCCTGAGAAGCAGGATCTCAAGGGTTCTTCAGTTTATGTCTCCACAGCCAAGAGCAGTGCTGTCCATGGAGGCTGTGGGGTCAGTACCTGTTGTCTGAGCAAACACAGGGTCAGTGAACCCTGGGAGAACAGGCTGCCCAGCACAGAGTAGTGCCACCTCGCTTAGAGAGGGTGGGAGTCCAGCTCATCTCTCACTGGCTCCTGACGGCCCTGTCTGCAGGTAGAAGGTCCCAGAACAGATTCAAACTGCATTTTCGTGACTTAAACCCCATCATTCCTTCTGCTTTATCATAACTTGCTGAAATTAATTACAGCAAGGTCATGGGAGACATGCTGGTTTTTGAACCTGGCCCTTTTTTGCTCTATAGTATTTTATTGCTGTATAGTATTTTGGGCAATGTAGTATAACTTTCCCAGCTTACATCAGGTAGTCTTGGCCAAAAATCTTTGCTTTGCTGCCTCTGATCTTAGAAGATTGAACTCTATTTTTGGAAACTTTCCCAAGGTTAACACGTGGTAGTATTTGTGAATTTTTTTTATCTTGAGGTTTTCTATTAATATTAGCATAGGATGGTCTCAGCAAACACATGTAATTTTTATATTACCTTTGTTCAAGCTCTTCCTACATCTTGCCTGAGCTTTAGTACTTATTCCTTAACTGTTTTTTCCAGTCTCTAGTCTCATCCTATTCCAGTTCCAACTGAACCAACACACAAGCTTGCAGATTCATATGCCTCAAAGGCAGCTATGACCAGGGTGCTCTCCTGTCAATGATCTCCGGTGGCTTCACATTTGCCCACTGGATAAAGAACAAATTCCTAGATGAGGTTCAAAACTCTCCACAATCTATTCCCTTCCTACTCTTCAAGCTTTACTTCCCAGTACTCCCTCCACATTTTCTGTGCTCTGAGCAATACACCGGCATGCTCCTCGGGACAGAGGCCAGGTCTGTTTTACTCACTGCATTCGGTGTCCTCGCACCTCCACCACCAGCTGGCGCATCGTAAGTGCTCAAACTAAATGCTGATGGAACAAATGGAGGAACCTGCCCTTTCCTTTCCAGCTTTTGGGTCTTTACTCACACTGAAATTCCCTTTCCTCTTTTTTCCCTTTGGAAATCAAAGCTGCTTGGAAACTTTCTTTCACATACATCCTAAGGAGAAGGCCCCTCACTCTCTTCTAAATTGCAGGCAAACTTAATTTTTGACTTGGCCAGGGACTCTACCCACAAAATAATCAGAGTGCAGAAGTATGTCAAGTGGATGAATATAATGGTATCAAGGGGGGTGGGTTAACTCCAGCAGGAAGAGACTGGAGGTTACAGTTCATCACAATATATCCTGGACTTCAGCTCCTCTTGGGGCCTGTGTAGTCTGCTCAGGCCACCATAACAGAATACCATAGGTGAGGCTGCTTAAACAGCAGCAATTATGCCCTCACACTTCTGGAGGCTAGAAGTCCAAGATCAAGGTGATTGACTCTCTGGCTTCCCTGGCGGTCTTCTCACGGTGCCCTCACATGGCCTTTCCTCTGTGTGTGGACTTCTGGTTTCCCTTCTCTTCTTATAAGGACACCAGTCCTGTGGATCAAGGCCCCCCTCTTATGGCCTCATGTAACCTTAATTACCTCCCCCAAGGCCCTGTTTCCAAATGCAGTCACATTGTATGCATTCAACATATATATCTTACAGTGAAAAAAAGCAACAACTTTCCTAGAACTCCCACAGACTTGTGCTTGTGTTTCATTAGGTAGAATTTGGTCACATGAGTACCCAGAGGCCTAGGAGTGGGACAGTTTTACACAGTCACATTTATTATGATAGAGTTCACACTCTCCCCTGTATTATAGCTCACTGTGTTTTTATTCTACAAGATTTGTAAACTCCAAGATTTGTAGAAACATGAGGTCTCACTTGCAATTCCCCATGGCTTCAAACTAGCGAAGGGGTTTTTGGTGGGGGAGTGACATATCCCTGAGTTGGGGTTCTGTTAGTCAGGAGGAAGGGGTTATGATTATTAACTAGGCCAAAGTTGATTGTTACCATGTAGAATACAAACACAATTGAGTATTATTCTAGAGAGAACAATAAAAGACCAAGACTATTGTAAGAGTGACAGCCAGAGCTTTTAAAGTCCAATATATTAGTAATTAATTAAAAGGTATTTATATTTTAAAGTTATACTCCTATTCACAGTTTTGCCTGCTCACACTTATTATGGTACTGCTCACACTCTCCCCTGCATTATAATTCATGGTGTATTTATCCATCTGTGGATAAAATGAAAGTTCCTGTGGCCAGGATTCTCACCTGGCCCTGGTCGGCTAGCTTACTACACACGTGTGGGTAATACTTTGCTATTGACACTATATAAAGAGCTCTGCTCAGTGCTTTGGGTGACACGGTGGCAGGGCTGCAAGGCTGCAGGAGAGCAGAGCAGAGGCTGGAGTGGTGGCAGCGCCGAGGACACAGGCCCAGAGGCAGAGACCGGCTTGCTGCATGCAGACTCGCTCTGAGCAAACAGGATTCTAGTGATTGACCTGCCACCATGGAAATAAAGTTGGGTATAACCCTTTCACCCCAAGAACGTTTTACTGTCATTTCTTTGGTCACACTGAATCCATAGCGAACTTGCCTGGGGCTGAAACCCATTGAAGACACCATCTTTTCTGTAAGATTTTAAACTACAAGGTTTGTAGAAACATATTTCCCATAGCTTCTAACATACCGTGTTGTTGATAGCGGGCACTTAGAAATATTAGCTGTGTGCAAGGAGACATTTCATAACCCTGCTTGTATTTCATGCAATTTTACATCAGGTTAAACTGCATGCACACTGCCTCAATCAGATGAATATGCTCATTTAGTTACCTTTGTCTCATGACCCACCCTGAATCTGAACCTCAGCCAACTGTCTCTGGTTAGAAGGGAAACCCCTGTGGGTACGTGGATGGTTCAAAATAAGTTCTTTCCCCTACTTACTCAAAGCAAATTCTTTTCTCTACTTTGCATACATGGCAGACTTCCTGAATTTACCCCAATGTGGCAGAGATGCTTATAGCCTTCTGCATGAAACTAGCATTTAAGATAAAGGCATGCTCAGTACCAGGGCCCATTTTGATTTTCCTCATCAGCCAGATATCATTCACGTGAGGACTCCAAGCATTGGAGGAAATTGAAATTCTTTTTATTTCAGAGCTGTAGTCCAGGCCCAACAATTCCAAATGCTTTGTAAATAAGTATCAAAGCCTTTGTTGCCAAAATATTCCCAGCATATATCTGACGTTATTTTTGAAGGAAAGACTCTACCGACTCCCAGGGGGACATTTCACTCCTCCAGCTTCTTCTGTCTCTTACAGGTGCGTCTACCCGCCCTCCATCTCTGCTGTATGTGGTCGCCGTGGTGGGTGTGGTGGGTGCCCCCTGGTCCTCTCATCCCATGCCTTCACCTCTGGGTGCATCTGGGGCTATGGAACTCACATTCATGGAAGGAAATGCCTCCTTTGTGTCAAAATGCTTCTAACCCAGCATATTTCTTCTAAATTGAGCCCAAGGCCTTGCTCTCCTTGAGAGTGGTTTCTATCCTGCTGTGGAAGGCCAGGATGAAGAAGGATGGGAACGTCATCCCAGTTCAGATCCTGGCTCCTCCCCTCCAGTGCGGAGTGGCTTTCATATTTCTGAGCTTTTGTTTCCTCACAGAGCTGTGAAACTTGACCTGACATTAATTATTAATAGACTGGAAAATGCCCAGAGCAAAGAATCATTTAATAGGATTCAACACCAGATGTTCATATTTACATCATTTCCTCTATCCCCATTGGGCTTGCCAATGTTTTATCTGTGGTGACTCAGTAAGAAACTTGCTCCATGTACATCTTTGGAAGACGAATGGATGACCTGCGAGGCTCAAACTCTTTGAACTTCTCTTGTGTTTTTTTTTACTTCAAAGTAGGCATAAAAATGCTAACATATCAACACTCTGATTAGAAATCATTAAGAAGTAAGAAAAGAGTTAAAAATGAAGTTTTGACATGGACCCCTTTGTCAATCCTTTTGCACAAGTGGAAAGGGGCTGCCTTTCATATTAGAGTCTGTTTCAACCTTTTTTCCTCCACAGATAATTGCTGCATGAGTGGTT